CTTGGCTTGTAGACTAATTTCACATCAATTTTTCTGGTCTATGGACTCTTAGTTTAAGAGTATGCAAATTTTTAAAAAGTCGAGTTTAAAGCTGGGGCATTAATTTATGAGCCCTAGGTTATACATGGGCCCCAGGGTAGTTGCCCCCCTCACCACCACCCCCCTCTCAGTGGGCCTGCTTAATTTAGTGTATTGTTTAGTTTTGGTACTCTGTGATTATTTCATGGTCACTTTGTGATACTTTCTTGCAGAGGTTTTGCTAGGCACTGTCGCATAGGGCCTATGCCCTGATTCTATTTGATATTGCCCCAAATCCCCAGTTGGTGTCTTGAAAAATCAGAATAGATAACCACAATAAATATCATACTGAAACTCTGAAAATTCATGTATCTATGGGCTCAAGCCCCGAATCTTGTAACTCTGCTTTCCTTTAATTAATCGGATCCTGTCTATTTGGTTAATAGAGTAAAAATTTATGGATTTCACACTGTTTTCTGCAACACACCACTCTTGATGTCCTAAGTTTACTTATTTTATATAACAAAATATTTTTTTAAGTATAAAAGAAAATTATCTGTCCAGGTGAATAAATTACTCACTGTTTCTTGGTTCCACATTTACTATCATCTCTGTTTGTCTCGTTTCATAGTTATCCTTATTTAATGCAATAATCTATATAATAAAAACCACAATTTTACACAGTGATTTTTATAAAACAAAAACAATAGTGTTGTCCTTATTAAATATACTTTTAGAAGATAAGTCTATAACTTGATTAAATAATCTATACATTTTTTTGTATAGCAGTTTAAGGTAATGATCTACATAGGAAATATATATTTTTCACATGAAACAGATTTCTTAAATGTAATAATGTAGAACAATATATTTGTTCTTTGAAAATGATTCTGTATTAGTACAAACAACTCACTTTTTAAAATAATGTTTAATATAAAATAACTTCTTAGGAACATTTGGTACACATTATGGACATACGTTTTCTGCATTCATACTTTTTCTTTCATATGTTAAAATTTAAAATATCCTTAAAGTCTAAAGATGCAATAAAAGCATTACTAGTAGACAAAATGACACACACCAATAAGTATTTATTTCAATCATGAGAAAATAATTTTAAACAGAAAATCTTATACACATATGTGTTTGAATTTCTCAACTTTTCATACTTCAATATGAACTTCTCCTGGTTCATCTGGAGCCCCATAGAGGTATGCTGTTTCTGTTGTGTTTACATGTCTGTAATTCATCCAATGAGGAAGGTCAGGCATGCCAAACAATGAAGCTCGGTACACCAATGATTCAGCTAACAAAAAATCAAACAAACAAATAAAAAAAATTAAAACTATATTTAAGACAAAACAGATCAAAGTAAGCCTTAAGCAATAGTCCCACGATTAAAATCAAAAGCTACCAGAGGACATTCTAGCTCTAGAATGATTCCAGTAAATTACATTTTCACATAATTGCTGAAATACAAAAATGTACGTTTTACATAAATAATGAAATAGATAAATATATTTGTAAGAAATTAATTAGAAAAAAGGATTTTCAATGTGAAACTATTACAATGTTTAATAAAACTTTAGAAAAATTCACAAATATGTTTGGGAGAAAAGCTCCTAGATTCTGTCTGCAAATGTTTAGTTCATGTTCTTTAAACATATTTTAGCAAAATAGATTAACAAAGTTTTGGTAAATTTAATTTTAGTCACAATGTAATTTCATTTAACAATAATATATCAGGTTCCTAAAACTGTCTACTCCAAATAAATCTTACCTTCGCCATACTGATATTCAAACATATTCTTTTTAACTGCCATGAAAAACACTTCTGTTGTATAAACAGTTTTGCATTCTCCATACTGGACTACTGAAAAAACTTGAAGAGATTGCATATTTCAATGTAAAGGTTTATAAAATGAAATTACATACAAATTAAAATTTTCACAAGGTAATTCAATCGTTTTTTTACATTGAATACTTCACAACAAAGTAACAGATAAATTTTTCCCAAGATGCATATATTTAATAATATTGTTATTCAAACATAGATAATTCTCATTCTGATTACCAAATATAAATTAACTAATTTACTCTTAACAATAAATAAATAATACTTAAACAGATGAAGTCTGCCAAAATACTTATATCACTTAAGGAAACAAAAGCAAATTCAGAAGTTGATTATGTAAAATTACTCATTTTGGAGCCTAACCACATCATTACAGTCCATGTCAGCAATGGTTGTTCATGTTCTACCTGATGGACACACATCTTGCAGTAGCTCTGTAGCATAGTTTCATTGCACAAACCGCCATCATAAGGCTGTCATGTCAAAATCACACTACCATTTCCTGCATGTTTTCCAAATTCCATCTAGTATATGTGAACAGTAATTTCTCAGTGACAATTTATAGTCTGATAATAAAGAAGTCCACAAGCTTGGCATTTAGTTACATGACTGGTATGCCTTCTTATGGAATGGCATGAACACCAGTTTCATTTTCCAGCTGTTTGATTTATGTAACAGCTTAATGGATATGTCGTGGAACTTGTGTATACATGACTTGCTTTTCAACCGAGATATTTTTTGACTATGTTGTGCACTGTTGCCTGGGATGTGTAAATATAACCTAAAATGTGGTCCTTCCAGGATGTCCTTGCAAAAGCCCCCTAACATTTCTAAGCTCCTGTAAAGTGCTGGCCTACACTACTGCTAACAGCAACTCTTTTTCTTAAGTCAGTTACCCTGTTGGAAGAATAAGACTGTTTTTATTGGAGCCTAACCTATCTTTTTCCAAATCTTAAGACTTGTGTCTTCTCATCCATTATTGTGAATATGTTATATTTGAAAAGTATTTTGTTGGCATGTTATAAAATCCCCCCCCCCCCACCCACACCTATTTGTTTATTAACACAATAGTGATATGACTACATAATGCATAGGATTAGTATATATATATATATATATAGAGAGAGAGAGAGAGAGAAAAAAAGTAAAGACACCTTTAATTAATGATAGTATCAAAATATTCTTGGCACCCATTCTGTAATTAAATTTTAAAAAAGTA